CAACTCACTGAAATCATTCCTACAATTAGTATGCAAGATAAGACTGAATAACAGATTCTAAGCATCAGCTCCATTTTGACAAATAAAGTCGCATACATCGCGAAACACGTAGCATACAGAAAATGTGTGTATATAAAAGGTATGAGAATACTCCAATTCTCATTAATCATTTCAACGAATTNTCCTTTGTTTTCTTTCCTTTGATAACTGTGTTAATGGTACATTTTTCTTCTATGTTATCTTTTTCCAGACCCCTCCAAATGTCATTTTGTCTGGTCATTACTTCTATTATCTCCTCTTCAGGGATACACTGCAGGACGTTTAGTAATATTACCCTTGGTCGTTTGCCTCCCGATGTTCTACATTTAATCTTGTCTTTTATTTCTTGAATCTTTCCTATTTCCTCTTTTAGTTTCTTCCTATCTTCTTCACTCCCGACCCTTATGCACACACCATTGTCTCTTATTAATTTAACTTCTTTGATTTTAACCCTTATTTTGTGTGGCTGAATTTTATCAAAAATCTGCTCTGTGATCTCTTTTATGTCTGTTCGCGCACCTTCTTCTTCATCACTTGGGTACACCAGTACAGCGCTATTGCCTCCTTGTTCACCGTTGTTATTGTGAGATTAGCCGGGGTTACGGAGTAAGTAGTACTCTTGTAACACTTAATTGGCACTATTCCGTGAGAATAGTTCTCCGAGTTTCGGATCGAGAGATCCGATCTTATGTCAAGATTCGTTTGACCGGGAGGGCTGTAATATTTAGGAAAAGGGGATTCAAGACTGTGAGGTCTTTATCCCAAATGTCAGGGTCCCGACACCAGTTAATCAATCTTATTATACGCAGATTAACACGCGTATGAGATCTTATTACGATTCAAATTAAGAGCCATATCTTATATAAAACAAACAAAAGTAAATTTAATGATTCTATAAGTAAAACTAATACAAATATCGAGGAACGAGGGATAATAATACGACAATTTATATACACGATATAGACATGGACTTATACTATACCGATGCGCGATCGAGAGAGAGAGCTCACAAAATCAGTAGAAACATACAACCTGTTTTAGTTGTCGTTCGTCTTCTCTGTATGCAAGGGACACTCTGGAGATAAAGTTCATTTACTTCTTTGTATGGGAGATCAATATGTGCACAAAATCCTAGTATGTTTTCTAAGTGCTAACTCTGGAATTATTCTGTATGTGACTTGTCTAAGGACGTTGGTCATCAGGAGGAAAATGTATGGAGTTCGGACACTCTATGTCTGTCGATGAACTCCCCGAATTCTGACAAATTCCCTGTATATCTGCTGATTTTCGACCAATCATCGGCCAGTAACTCTTTCATGAGAACGGATGAAAGGGGAATGAATGAGGGGTAAACATTTCCCATCTGAGCGGGATTTTAACCAGATAAGGGAAAGTCAGAGGATGTTCTAACTTC